TCTGTTATTGCCCAGCTGCAGTTCCAACCGTTTTTCCCTTCACAGCACTTGCTCACCTATCATTTCAGGACTCAGCATCTATGCCAGGTGGCTTACTTGTCACTCTAGACCTGACACCATCTTCTGGCCTTTGCTGGCACCCGTGCTCACATACAAATATACATACAACATTTAATTTTAAGTGTGTGTGTGTCCCAAGAACCCTGTGAAAAAAACTGGCGAGGTAGTAGTGTTTGTCTACTAGTTCTTAGGAAACAAAAACAGGAAGCTCCCTGGGGCTCACTGGCCAGCTATCATAGCCTAATGGGTCCATGCTGGACCCCAGTGAGGAGCCCTGTCTCAAAAGTCAAGGGAGAGGGCTCACAAGGATCAACAGCAGAGACTGACCTCTGACCTCCACATACACATGTGTGCACACAGGAAAGAAATACAATGGACAGACTGGTATATAAAGACCCTGTACTACAGAGGAGGTAGGCAGGGGGACCTGGAGTTAAAGACCAGCCCGGGTTTGTAATGATCACCTGTCTCAAAACAAGCAAAGAAGACTGGAGAGATAGCTCAGTGGTTAATAGCCTATGCAAAGTAGCTGAGTTCAGGTTCCAGCATCCACAGACCTGACACAGTGTGTGTGTGTGTGTGTGTGTGTGTGTGTGTGTGTGTGTGTGTGTGCACGCGCGCACACACACGTGCACTCATGTGTACAGTGCCTAGAGAGGTCAGAAGAAGGCATTGAATCCCCTGTGCCTGGGTTACAGGCAGCTCTGAACTGCCTGATGTGGGTTCTAGGAACCAAACTCAGGTCTTCTGCAAGAGTAATACATGCACTTAACTGCTGAGCTATCTTTCCAGCTGCCTCACACATAATTTTAAAAATAAAATAAAGCTGGGCATGGTGGCTCATGCCTTTAATTCCAGCACTTGGGGAGGCAGAGGCAGGTGGAGCTCTGACTTTGAGGCCTCCCTGGTCTACAAAGCAAGACCAGGATAGCCAAGGCTGAAAAGAGAAATCCTGTCTCAAAAAACAACAAAAACAAACAAAAGTAAAAGAAAAATAATTTTTAATAAAAATTGGAAAGGGGAGAATACTTCTGTTTTGTGAAATAGGGTCTTGTGTAGTCCGGTCTGTTCTGGAGCTGGCAGTCATTACTCTCTAAGCTCTATAGAGAGCCCTGGGAAAGAAGCATCTTTTTATGCAAATGATGTTTTAAAGGGAATACAGACACAAAAGTGGGATAATCTAGACAACAGTGTACTCTTAAGAGATCGTTTATTTACATATCTAAAACTGAAAGGTGCTTCTTAGAAACTCTATTTTTTAAAGGATTTGATTATAGGGACTGTAGGTTTAGTTCAGTGGTAGAATATACCTTAACTCTCAACAAAGCTCTGGATTTGATCTTCAGTGCATCTACACACAAGAGCAATCAGATTCTTATGTTCCAAATTCTTCCTAAACTATATGGTTCCAGCATTGTATGCCTAGTACACTAGTTATCTTGTGCTATATAATAAATCATCCCAGTATTTAATGACACCAAACAATAATCATTTGTTACTTCACAGCATCTTTGGGTCAGGAATCTGAGGGCAGCCCCACTCACAAGGTCCTAGGAGGCTGCAGAAACAGTACTCACTGGCACTGCTGCTTCAGGTGAATATGCAGCTATGGAGAACTGGTGGCTGTTTACACACTTAGTTGATGGCAGGACTCAGCTTTTCATAGTTGCAGTATTAAAGCTCTTAGTTGCCTAATGACTATTGGCCAGAAGCCTCCTGCCTTAGGAGCCTCTCCATAAGGAGCTTCACACATGGAAGATGGCTGTCTTCAGAGTGAGCAGCACAGAGTACAACAGTAAAAGCTACAGTATTTTGTATTCTGATAGAGAAGTGACACCTCATTACTCTGTCATATTTTTATTTATTAGAGGTAAATCAGCCAGGTATGGTGGAACCACCCCTAATCCCAGCCCTGGAGAGACAGAGGCAGGAGAATCATGATTTCAAGCCCAGCCTGGGCTACAATATGACCCTGTCTCAAGAACATACGGAAAAAAAAAAAAAAGAATAATTAATGCTGAGGCTTTTATCTCTGTAAACTCATCATTTAATACTGTCTCACATCCCAGACCAGCCAACAGGGTAGCTAGGAAAGTTAATACAGTCTCTTATCAAAATAAACATGGAACACAAGTGAAATACAGGATTCAGGCAGATCACTCATTCTCCATTATCTGAATAAATATATAGAATTTACAATTTAGTTTTCAGTTTAGTGTTACATCACAGATGTTAACCTAACCATGTTTCATGGTACATGTATATAATCCTAACATTCAGAATATCATAATATTTAGACAGCCTGGACCAAATAGCATTTCAAAGTATGAAACTATTAAATACATGAGGCCCTGAGTTCATTCCTCAGTACAAGCAAAATGACCTACATAATTTAAAAATTACATATGCTAGTCCATAAAACAGTTACTTTGGTACTTTTGGAGTTCTTGTGTATAAGTAAAGTCATTGCTGGTACAACTTCACCATCTTAAAATAAGAGATTGATGTCTATAGGAATTTTTTTGGTTTAGTTTTGTTTTGTTTTCAGAGTTACAAAGCTTAATACAGCAGTTCTCAATCTGTGGGTCATAACCTCTTTGGGTTGTGTACAGCAAAAGTACAGTTATGAAGTAGAAATAAAATAATTTTATGGTTGGGAGGGGTTACCACAACATGAGGAACTATATTAAAGGATAGCAGCATTAGGAAGGTTGAGAAGCTCTGGCTTAAGAGAATATTTGGTGTAATCTTTATAAGTTTATTTCAAAGTAGAAAGCAAAGGTTATAGTAAAACAGTTTTGTTAACTACTGTAGTAAGAAGCTAATTGCATACCTTACTGCTTCTATCAAAATAAATCCCATTTAAAATGAAAGATTTGAATGTTTAAAATGGGGCACATAATGAATAAAGAAAACATATGTAAATATAGGTGAAGATCTTTCTGAACATAGCATCCAGTCCGGAATCTACATAGTTATTTCCATTCATGAAAAAGCATAGCAAACCAAAAAAAACAACAAACTATAAAGTGTAAACAAAAAAAAACTATAGAAAAAAATCTTCATTATATATGTCACTGAATTGTGCTAATTCTGCTAATTTTGAAAGAGCTTTAAGGGTCATCAAAATGGTTTGGTAAGTACAGGCACCTGCCATCAAGATCGATTACCTGAGGACAATCCCCAAGCCCTACACGGTGGGAGAGAGGTCTGAATCCCACACCTTGTTCTCTGACCTCCACGTGCACACACACAGAGAATAAATAAATAAAATACATAAATAGAAATGTGATAAAAATGTAAAAGAACTTTTACAATTCAATAAAATTCTGATAATTATACAGATAACTTAAAGAAAAGGGCATGGACATAAGCAGTTAATAATTTTACAGGCAGCTCATAGACTGGAGCTATAGCTCAGTGGTAGAGCACCTGCTTATTCAATGCACCAGAACTCCACAATCTTTATATAAAAACAAGGTATAAGTAGGTATGCCATTGCATGTCTTTATTCCTTGCTATTGGGAGGCTGAAGCAGGTGGATCTCTGAGTTTCAGGCCACTCAGGGTTGCATAGTAAGACCCTGTGTGTTTGTGTTTGTGTGTGTGTGTGTGAGAGAGAGAGAGAGAGAGAGAGCACCAAAGACCAAAGGATCTAGTTCAATTGCACCCACCAGGAGACAGCTCATACCTGTCTGTAATTCTAGTCCCAGAGGTTGTGACACCCTCTTCTGGCCTCTGAAGTACACATATGATGCATAGACATACATGCAGGCAAAAAACCCGTACACAGAAATAAAATGTTAAGAAATGTGTGTGTGTATATACAGAGAGAAAGAGACAGATCAGGAAGATCCTGCACAATAAAAGTGTCCTCCACATTTAGAAGGGTGCCACATATATTGAAAAGTTTTACATGCTTTAAAATATGCACAGGGACTGGAGAGATGGCTCAGAAGTTAAGAGCCCTGGCCGCTCTTCCAGAGGTTCTGAGTTCAATTCCCAGCAACCACATGGTGGCTCACAACCATCTGTAATAAGATCTAGTGCTCTCTTCTCGTGTGCTAGTATACAGGCAGGCAGAACATTGTATACATAATTTTAAAATCTTAAAAAAAAATTATATCATCTGTAGTTTGTGAGATCATTGGAGAAGCAGTTAAATTATTTATATCAATTGGAGTTGGTGCATTCTTTAGGATCCCTGTATGTCATATAAAAATGCTCAAATATATTGTAAAATGGAACATAATAAAAAGAAGATTCAAGTTTGGACTTATGGCATACACCTGTATATGTAGTTATTAAGGAGGCTAAGGCCAGAGGATCTCTAGTTCAAGGCCAACCTGGACTACAGAGCAAGATCAAGCCAACCGGGGCAACTTAGTGATACTTGGCCTCAAAGACTAAAAGAAGAGGGGCTGGAGAGATGGCTCAGTGGTTAAGAGCACTTTCTGATCTTACCAAGGACCTAGACTTGATTCCTAGGACCCACATGACAGTTCACAACCCTCTTACCACAGTTTCAGGAATACCTTCCAATACCCTCTTCTTGGCACCAAGCTCACATGTGGTACACAGATGTGCATAAACGCAAAACGTCCATACACATACACACACACACACACACACACACACACACACACATATTTTAAAGGGAGGGGGCTGGAAATATAATTCAATGGGTAGAGTGCTTGCCTGACATGAATAGGGCCCTAGGTTCAGTTCACAGTACCACAAAAAGGAAGAAAAGGAGAGAGGAAAAGAAAGTTCATGAGTGAAAACTATGTGTGGCAAACAGTTGACTTTGACTTTCTCTGTACAGAACAGGGGGCCAACTTTATAAGCAACCTGTTGCTGCAATGTTTAAAAATGTATAATTAAAATATTTTATAAGCAGAAATAATATTTTTAAAGGTAATTCATACTTTCCTTTTACAGGCGATTACATGCTTGAGGCAAAGCCAAAAGAAATTTCAGAAATTCAACGTGTAAATTATGAACAGGTAATAAACATGATTTTTATATTAAATATGTAATTTTGTATTATGAATATACACATTGGTCTTTGTTTGTGATTTGAAACTTTTTCTGTACAACACTGGAGAGTAAATGTTTTAGGCTTTGTCAGCCACTTAAGTTTAAGTCTATTGCTTATTCTTTCTTTTCTTTTCTTTTTAAACTACCTTTTAAACATATAAAAATACTTCTTAGTTCAAAGCCATATTTGTTTCAGAAGTCGTAATTTTTTGATTCCTGTTTTCTATGAATGTATGTGCTGATGATGTATTAATATTATATTATATTATAAATCTCTACAGGATAACTTGGTGTTTTCCTTGAAAACTGGCTCTCAAGTAAATTTGTCATTGATTTATCTTTTCTTGTTTTGTTTAATCTATTATCATTTTTTTAGTGCTGAGAATTGAATTCAATACCTTGTACATGCCACGTGAGCACTCTTCCAGTCCTCAAGTTATGCTTAGGATAAAGCTGAGTAAATGCTGCCTGCCATATCAGGACACATTCTGTAACTGTGTAATTTTAACATGTCCACATTTCTTGGTACATTCTTTAGAGATCTTGTTCAGTAATGAAGGCACAGTAGGGAAGGCACACTCTAGAAGCTGGGAGTAAAACAGCAAACCTCATTTTCTTCAGTATTCTTTGTATTTGTCAATAGAAGGAAAAAGAAATTAACTTCTCTTTTTTGGGTTTTTTTGTTTTGTTTTGTTTTGTTGAGACAGGTATCTCTTTGTAGCCTTGGTTGTCTTGGAACTAGTTCTGTAGATCCATTTGCCTCTGCCTTCCGAATGCTGGAGTTAATTTACAAAATTTCTTGAATTTGAGTGTTAGTATAATCTTGTCCTAATACAATTGAAAAAGCAACATTTTGCATTATAGGTAATTTATAGCTAAAGTCAACTTTGTATGCTGATTTAAATTTTATTAGAAAAGACTGGCGATAGCTCAGAAGGACCTGGGTTTACTACTCAGTAACTCTCCCAAAAATTACTAGGATGATTTATAGCTTAGAGCAGTGGTTGTGTTTGTTTGTTTTGTTTTGTTTTTGAATACTATGTGCATTGGTGTTTTGCTTGAATATATGTCTTTGTGAGGATGTCAGGTTTCCTGCACTGGAGTTACAGACAGTAGTGAGCTGCCATGTCGGCGCTGCAAATGGAAACCATATCCTGTGGAAGAGCAGCCAGTACTCTTAACTGCTGAGCCGTCTCTCCAGGCTTCTGGAGCCATGATTTTCAAATAGTTTTTAGCAGTAGAAACCTCTCTTTCAATAAAATCTTCCATCAGTTTCTAATATATAAACCAATAAACAATCTTTTTATTTTTTTTAAAAGCTAGATACAAAGTACTGTGCTTTGTTATAGAATTTTCATTCATGCTTTGTTCTCACATTACCCCTTTCCTGCCCTCCTTTTTTTTTTTTCTGGTCCTCTTCTCTCCCCAGTAGTCCTTCCTGCTTTCACTTTGCATGAATTCCATTACCGCCATTTTTTCTCTTCTTTTTCCTTCACGTTTAGATTTCATATTCCCCTTTCCAGGTCTCCTTTCTAATTTCATTAATTATGTCCACTAAAAACCAGTAAATAATACTTTATAAGTATGAAATTATAAGGTTTAATTTATATCACTTATAAAGCTTATATAATCTCTTAATGAACTCAATGAGACATTTTTGAGTAACACCAAAACTCAAATTAAAAATAGTGCCTGTTCCTCCTAGTGCCATTTTACTTCTGTTGGCCGTTCTAATGACACATCTGACAACCATTTGCAGGTGAAAACAGCATGTTTGTTCCTTTTGTACCCACCATGCAGTCTCTGGATGCCTTTGCATTACCGTGGCTTAGACTCCTGAATAAAGGAAGAAAAGCCATTTCACTTTGAGACGAAGGATATCCAAGGACTTATGGCAAACATACCCTAATTCCAGTGAGATGATTCAATACATAAAAAAATTCCTGGAACCCACTTGGTAAAGAAAACAACAGATTCACTCAGATTGTCCTCTGACCTCCATGTGAAAGTTGTGGCACCATACTCCTCCCCCAACTATAGTAAATATTTTCAAACTACCCTGCACTTAAAATAAGTACAAAAAGCATTCGTGAAGTTATTCTACACTACCATTCACTTTAAGAATAGTGTGTAGCAAGCTACGTGTTAGGTCTGAGCACCTGTTTAAAGCCCATAGGTATCAGGCTCCTTGTCTTAATGAGATTTTATATGAGCCGACAAGGTCAGACCTACATTCGGAAAGACCAACGTAGAGCTTCAATATTCACATGAAATGTGAAACCTCTGCCAAAAGCCATCATGTTAACAGCACACTCCTACCTTTGCTGAACAAAGACCTTCACAGTGTTAGAAAATATGGTCTGAATGAATCACAACAGGTTTTTATTTCTTATTTATTTTTACAGTTATAGGGTATTAAATGAGATAGACAAGCTAGGTGAGGGCTTTACCACTAAGATGCACCTTCAGCCTGACAGATTTTTAAGTGATTGCAAATGTGCTTGTAAAATATACTTTTGTTTAAGCTGGCTGTGACCACATTGTTTTGTCCTAAGTGATGGGGAGGCAGAAGGCAGAGGACTGAAAGTTCAAGGCCCGGCCTACATAGCAAGACTGTCTGAAATAAATAAACATATATTTTGTATTTAAATTTATAATACAGCATTAGGCTAGAAGTACCTTTGAAAGGAATTGTTAAACAGTTTTACCAGTACCCTTAAGGGTATCAGCAAACCATCCCTCACTCTTATATTTTATACCGTAATTATCAATTGGGAATTAGGAAAAAGTTGTCCAAGTATTTTCACTTTCACCTTTGTTTATAAATTTATATTACCAGTTTTCTTACTCTTGATGATTATTAAATGTTGGGAATTATTTACTGTTTTGTTTTGTTTTGTTTTGTTTTTTGAGGTTTTGGTCTTAGTATGGAGCCCAGCCTGCCTTTGAATTTCCTGTCCTCCTGCTTCTACCTCCCTAATGCTGAAATTACAGTACATATTGGCTTTTACTCATTCTCTGAGATATATCTTGTCTATTCTTATATTTAATGTGTTAAGATAATCAGAAAAATAAGTTTTAAAGTAATCTTCAATAAATGATTTGTGACATTTAGTTGTAATTAATTAATTAATGCATTCATTCATTTGCATGTGCCACAGATTGCATGTGAGAGTTGAGGACAAATTTGCAGAAATCAGTTCTCTTTCTAGTATGGGCTCCAACAATGAAATTCAGATCATCAGACTTGTATAGCATATACCTTATTCACTCCTTGATCAGGGCAAAATTTTGTGATCTGTTCTCTGCCTGTCTCTTAGCTTCACCTACAACTCCGCTCATTTATTTAGATATACCTTTACTGGGCTCTTTGCTGTCCGCAGGCATTGTAATATGCTTATTTTACATCAATGATCTTTTGTTAATGTGTTGTTATTGTTTTGTTGTTGTGTTTTGTTTTTTAGTGTAATGAGGATCAAACCCAGGACAAATACTCTACCTCTTGAACTACGTCCCCAGCCATACTTTTTTTAAAAAAAAAAAATCTGTGCATGTGTGTTTTCATGTATACATTTATGTGTGAGTGCAAATGTATATATGCAAAGCATATATTCTTAGCTGTGGGTTTTGTCAAAGCTAGTGGTCTGTTAAAACAGTCTAAAAGTCTTTACCTAATAGTTAAGAAGATGATGGGATATTAAGGGGACTAAAGGCAGCCCTGGGTAATTTGGGCCTTGGATCTACAACATGCCAACTGTTTACAGGTTTCAATCAGTCAGTCAGCTTTGAAGCATCTGTAACATTTGGTGGATTTTTTTTTTTCTGGGAACTTCAGTTTTTGGACTAACCATCCTACGTCGACAAGATTGTCACCCAAAGTCCATAGGCTACATTAGGTTTCACCTTTGATGTTATACATTCTGTGAATTTTGACAAGTGTGTGATGGAATGTATCCACTAGCATAACACAGCACAGAAATGACTGTGTGCTGCTATGTACTCCTTCCTCCCTGACTTCTGGCAACCTGACTGATCTTTTTAGAGTCTCCACAAGGTCAGCCATTTCCAGAGCCAGATCCCACATGTGGAGTCATTGTCTTTTCAGATCTGCTTCTGTTATTTAGTCATGTGCAATTAGATTCTTCCATATCCTTTCATGGCCCAAGAGTTTGTTTATAATTTTTAAATTGTCCTTCTGCACAACCTCATACTGCTCAGTTTTTCTTGTTAATACTTAGCATGGTATTGTACCTTTACATGGCTGTTTCTTGTAGCAGCAAAATACTAATCACCTGACAGCAGAAACCCTGTCATATTCACTGTTGTATTGCTGGAACTCAGATTAGAGCCTGGTACACAGTATGTAGTTGATAAAAAGTCTGTTAAGGGCTGTCTTATCTAGCATATACAAAGCCTGCAAAAGCCTGCAGGACTATGAAGAGGAAGAAGAACAAGAAGAAGTAGAAGAAGAAGAAATGAATTTATATATATATATATATATATATATATATATATATATAAAATATTTATTTATTTATTTGTTTATTTGTTTATTTTAAACAGGGTCTTTCTGTGTTGCCTAGGCTGGCCTGGAAGTCTTGGGCTCAGATAAGAACTCTGCTGGGACTACAGGCACATGCCACCATATACAACTTTTTAAAAATAGTAATTATTCTTCTGAACTCTACTTCTCTACTCTGTATTTTCAGAATATGAGTGACGCTATGGCGATCTTGCACAAACTGCAGACAGGCCTGGATGTGAATGTCAGGTTCACTGGGGTGCGAGTGTTTGAGTACACGCCAGAGTGCATAGTCTTCGATCTTCTGGATATTCCTTTGTATCATGGGTGGCTAGTGGACCCTCAGGTAAGGAGAGTTTCAGTTATATATACATGGGGGCTAGAGAGATTGTTTAGTGGTTAAGAGCACTGGCTACTCATGCAGACAGGTCACAACTGTCTATAACTCCAGTTCCAGGGGATCTAATGTCATCAGACATACATGTAGATAAAACAATCATACACATAAAAATAAATCAGATTTAAATCAGATGCAGAAAAGTTATTCTAAATTTATATATACGTGTGTGTGTGTGTGTGTGTGTGTGTGTGTGTGTGGTTGTTGTTTTGTTTTACAAGGCAGGGTTTATCTGTGTAGCCCTGGCTGTCTTGGACTTGCTTTTTTGTTTGTTTGTTTGTTTGTTTGTTTGTTTTGTTGTTTTAGTTTTTTGAGATAGGGTTTCTCGATGTAGTCTTGGCCATCCTAGACTCGCTTTATAGACCAGGCTGGCCTCAAACTCACAGAGATCCACCCACATCTACCTCCTGAGTGCTGCGATTATAGGTGTGCACCACCATGCCTGGCCCCTGTAGCCAGGCTGGCCTCAAATTCACAGAGATTGGTCTGTCTGAATTCTGGGATTAAAGGCGTGAGCCACCACACCCTGCTTAAATTTATATTTTTTAATGCCGGTATGCTTGCTCTGTGACCTGGAATTAGCAAAAACATGAGGATGCAGACAGTCTTCCAGACCATCCAGTTTGTTCAAGACTTCTGGACCTAGTTTCAGGGTCAAGTAAAGAATACCTCACTTTTCACACTAATTGCCAGTTTAGAGGTTTTCCAAATAGCTTCAGATTTGATAGTTTGTTAGAACCATCTTGGGTGTGTACCATTACACACAAGGAATTCAGCTTATTACTGTACTGGCACACATAAGAGAAAGCAGATAGAGGTCCATATTAACCAAGAAAAGGTACTTAGGACAGAATCTAGGAAGGTTGTACCTGGGAAGCTGGGCAGCCTCTTTCCTCTGCACATTCTGCCCTCCTGGAACTGATATATAGCTATATCCATTGAATGTTGCCAATCCCAGAACTTACACAGCCTTCAGAGTTCAGATTTCTTATGGTTGATTGCCAATGTGGTTGATCTCAGTATCCAATCCTTACAGTCCAGGAAGCTAGACTTGATGCCACATTGTTCAAGGGTGCTTCCATGAGTCACTGTGTTCTAGTGTGAGCTGCGGGTATGTCATAAAAGGCTCTGCCATGAATAGCACCATTATTCTTGTTACTAGAGAAATCCCAAGTATGTAGAGGTTATCAGTCCAAGAGCCTGAATGAAGGCCAGACCTCTCCTTGGTCAAGAGCATAGCATTAAAGAGAGATTTTTAATCACCCTGACATTTATTTTTAAAAGCCACTCCCATATCTTCATCACTCTAATTGTAATAATCTACATTCCATATTCTGCCTCTTGCCAAGTATACCAGGGCCCTGACTTGAAGTACAGGGTACACCCAAGTATAACCAAATAAAGTTTTTTCTTTAGTTACAATTTATTCACTTTGTATACTAGCTGTAGTCCCCTCTCTCCTCTCCTTTCAGTCCCACCCACCCTCCCTCTTCTCTCCCTATGCCCCCCCCCCAGTCTACTGATAGGGGAGGACCTCCTCCTCTTCTATCTGACCCTAGCCTATCAGGTCACATCAGGGCTGGCTGTATCATCTTCCTCTGTGACCTGGCAAGGCTGCACCCCAGGAGGAGATGATCAAAGAGCCAGCCCCTAAATTCATGTCAGAGACAGCCCCTGCCTGTCTTACTAGGGAACCATTTGTAAACTGAGCAACCTATAGGTCTCCTCTGAGCAAGGAGTCTCCATGCATGGTAAAACATACAAGGACTCAACTATGCTCAACTATGTTCATAGCAGCTTTATTCATAATAGCCAGAATCTGGGAATAACCTAGATATCCCTCGACTGAGGAATAGATACAGAAATTGTGGTACATTTATACAATGGAATACTACTCAGCAATTAAAAACAAGGAAATCATGCAATTTGCAGGCAAATGTGGGAACTAGAAAAGATCATCCTGAGTGAGGTAACCCAGAAGCACAAAGACAAACATGGTATATACTCACTTATAAGTGGATATTAGACATATAATATAGGATAAACATAATAAAATCTATAGTCCTAAAGAAGCTAAACAACAAGGAGGACCCTAGGGAAGAGGCTGAAACCTCACTCAGAAGGGCAAACAGGATAGACATCGGAAGTAGGAGAAGACAAGAACAGGACAGGAACCTTCCACAGGAGGCCTATAAAAGACTCTACCCTGCAGGGTATCAAAGAAGATACTGAGCTTATAGCCAAACTTTGGGCAGAGTGTCGGAAACCTTACAGAAGAAGAGGGGGATAGAAAGATGTGGATGGGACAGGAACTCCACAAGGAGTCAAATAAAGCCAAAAAAAAAAAAAAAAAAAAAAAAAGCCTAGACCCAGGGGGGCCTGCAAGGACGGATACTCCAACCAAGCAAAGTTTTAAGAACAGCTTAGTTAGAAAGATGTGGGCAGAGGTAAGGGAAACAGCCAAGGAATAGTGAAGCACCTTACAGCTGACTGTAGACAGGAACCATTGTCTCCTTAACTCTGAAGAAACAGAAAGATGGTGATTAAAACCCAGCAACACCACTTGCCAAAGCATAAGAAGAAAAGCCAGAAGGGAATTCAGTTAGTACCAAGCGTGGCTAGCAACAGAGAGAGACAGGAAGGCCTGTTCTGACCCGCTCTCTAATGTCCATTAGTGTCATGCATTAGTCAGTCAAACTGAAAGTAAAGAGGCAGCCTTCATTTATTTTAATTTATTCTTTTTATAAATTACAGTTTATTCACTTTGTATTGCAGTTATAGCTGCCTCCCTCATCCCCTCCCAAACCCACCCTCCCTTCCTCATCTCCTCCCATGCCCCTCCCCAAGTCCACTGATAGGATAGTGCTCCTCCCCTTCCCTCTGACCTTAGCCTATCAGGTCTCATCAGGACTGGCTGCATTGTCTTCCTTGACTGGTCACATTGTAGACCAGGCTGGCCTTGAACTCATAGAGATCTGCGTGCCTCTGCCTCCCAAGTGCTGGGATTAAAGGTGTGTGCTACCACACCCAGCAACAATTTCTATTTTTAATATTGTAATAACTCTTGCTTTTTTTAACTGAAGCTGGCCTCAGCAAATACTTAAAAAGACAATAATTGTGGGATGGATTAAAATAGATTTGCATTTTTCTGTTGATGAAAGATATACATGATATATAATTATATAGAAAGACTGTAAGGACAAAACAATGCCAAGGGATTGATAAAAGAAAAGTGGTGGGCAGATGGCATGGGCGTTCTAAGTGGGAGGCCAGCTTTCGATTTATGAGACCCCTACTTCAAAAAGAAAGTAAAAGCAAGTGTGAAACTGTCACGGGAGGAGGAGGGGCTCAGCACCAAGGCCACAGACATGTGCCACCACTCTGCTGAGAACATCTGTGTTTCATCTGAACATTGAACTTTAATTTTCTTTTTCATTTATTTTTTGTTTTAAGTGTGTGCGTGTTTTGTCTGCATGTATGTCTACCTGCGTACCACATGTGTGCAGTGCCTTTAGAGACCAGAAGAGGGTGTTGGCTTCTGGAATTGGAGCTGTGAGCACCTGTGGGTGCTGGAAAAGGAACTCAGGTTCTCTAGAAAAGTAACCAGTGCTTTTAGCTGCTTTGTCAGCTCTCTACTCCCTGAATTTTTTAATTTTTCACTGAATACGTCACATGTTGTAGTTGCTTAAATGCATCTTTATAGTCTTAAAGTGACATGTAACAATTGTATCATTTCTGCAGAATTCGAATATAACTGTGCAGTAGTTTTCATAATGTAAACAGAAACTGGATTCAAGCTTCTATGCTGACTATCTCCTAAGCCTTTCCATTTAGTGTTGTATTAGAAAACAGGCTTAAGGAGTGGGAGGTTGCCTTTGTTACTGTTTCTAATCTTGCCAGAATTAGTGAGACCATTATTTGTTTTACAGATTGATGACATTGTAAAAGCTGTTGGCAATTGCAGCTACAACCAACTGGTGGAGAAGATCATCTCCTGTAAGCAGTCAGACAACAGCCAGTTGGTTAGTGAAGGTGGGTGAGTGATGCTCACACTTGGTGAAATATCTTGTCTTGAAATTCATTGAACTTACATTTATTTTTTTATAAGTAGACAAAATAATGTTTTTTTTTAATAACATATTCATAGCTGTAAATTGTTTAGCTAGGACTTCTAAAATATACAAGTGGTGGCACTTTTAGTAATGAGAAGCATTTGTAGACATGCCAGGAAAGCATTTTTTTTCCAAGAGCCCTATTCTTCTGGCATGTAAAATCAGGGCAGGATACTAATAGTAGGCTTTGAATCACTTGCAGCTTTGGTGTGGACAGATGTCCAATAGAATGGGTTGCTTTGCTGATCCTGAACTCTCTTTCTAAAGAGAGTATATGCATTCTCCACCATGTTTCAGTGCAGTTCACTGTGAAAAAGCCTCATTCTGGAACATGAGTGACTGACTGAAGTTAGTGAACTTCACAGTCACAGAGATAGGTCATTATTTTTTCAGGGTTTTTCTCCTTTGGAGCTCCTCCCACTCCCAAGAGTTCTTTGTTACTTCTTAATAAGTCTACATTTACTCCACTTAAAAATATAATTTTTTTTCAGCTGTGCTTCAGTTAATAGTGAGTAGAGAGGCTTGAAAACAGAATGCTGTCAGGAAGCCATTTGGATAAATTTTCACCACCATTCATTCAGTTCTCCTTTTTTAGAATGGTTAGAAAAAGACAGACAGACAGACAGAGGAAACAAAAAGAAAAGAAGAGAAAACAAAAGAAAAAGAGAAATATCAAAAGAAGCAAGGGCAGGGGACAAGTCCACCATTCTCACTCAGACAGTTCTTCAACATATAGCACAATAAAAATTTATTATAGTTACCACATTTTTAGAAATTAAAGCTAGTTTTTATAAGGATAATACGCTCGGGGCTGGGAAAGGTAACATATGAGCTAATACCAGCATTCAGGAGGCAGAGGCAGGAGGATCTCTGTGAGTTGAAACCATCCTAATCTACATAGCAAGTTTCATGACAGCCAGGACTATATAGAAACCCTGTCTCAAAAACAAATAAGCAAACAGAAAATGGGGCTGGACTAGAAAGATGACTCAGTTGGTAAAATACCTGATGTGTAAGACTTGTATTGGACTTCCTACATCCCACAGAAAACCACTTCAGAGATAGAGAATCCTGGGGGCCCGCTGGCCAGCTAGTCTAGCTAAATTGCTGAGGACCCTGTCTAAGACACAAGCAGAGAGCAACTTAAGGAGGACACTCTGTATTAACTCCTGGCCCACCACATGAGCACACACCTGCATACATGTGCATGCACACACATGAACACATACACCAAAAAAAAGTCAAAAGACTGTATAAAAGAGCATATAAAATGATCGCTACATGAATCTCATGTTAACTAATCCTACTAATTATGTTAATTATCCAGGATCTTAAAGCAAATAATAAAAGTTTTTCCCTGGAAAAAAGTTTCTCTTGTCTGTTACTTAAAAAGATATAATACTAGCCATGACTTGTATAAGGCTCCAAAATTCACACAAAGAAGAGCCACAGTAGATGTTTTCACTCATATTTTAGCAACTCTTTCCCATATGGTTTGTGTTCAGATCCCTTGATTCATGTTCAAGAAGTAGTCTGCTTCCTTTTCATATGTAACCTTCAACTGTATCTTCCTTTTGAATCAATAAAATATCCAAACTGGTTTTTTTCTGGTCTTACAGGCTTTCGTCTTAAATGACAACTACTTTTGTTTTTTAATCCAAACATTCCATTTGCCGTGAAGCCTTAGAATATAAGAAATCCTTTTACTAGCATTCCTTTTGGTGGGAAAATGCTATATACAGCTGATGTCAGAGCAGCAGCTTTCTCTGTTTGGTACTGACACCTGTACGCACAGCATAGCATGTCAGTAAACAGTGCTCATCATCTGTTTCCTCTTTTGAGTGGCCATGCCTTCTGGAATCTGGTTGTTATAATGATTGCTTGTGACACCAAAGTAAGAATCAATAAGAACCCCCTCCCTGTAGTACCAACTGCCAGACTCCCCCAAAGCCAATCATTTAGTTTCACATCCTTTTACAACTTCTTAACAACTATTCCTAGGATAAACATGCTTGTGAAACAAATCCCAGGATATTTGCTCAAACTTTTTTTCCCTAGTGCATTCATATTATCTTCATTAAGTAGTGGCAATAATCATTAATTTATTAAATGATATCTGTCATTTTTCTTTGTCCAACTTTTTTGTTGAGAAGTCTCAAAACCATATGAATTTAGATTCTCTTGGTGGACATTCACACACTCTTAGCTCACCAGCTCTTCACACATTGAATATCTGCCTTTTTTTTTTTTTTTTTTTTATTCCTACACAACACATTTTTTCTTCCTAAATCATATTAGCGCTAATTACAAGTGTCACATCACTTCACTCATGTCTCTTTGTCATGATGCCAATATGCCATCATTGTCTCTTTAAAAGACGGATTTTGTGTAACTTCCCCATTGTGATCACAATGAGCTTAGGCAAGGCAGTGCACCTGCTGTGTTACCCAGCATGCTGTTTATGTGCTCCTCTTCCTGGTTTTTAACCAGGCCCTGTAACATTCCCTTTCTTTCAGCGCATGCTCAAGCCAAAAATTACTCAGCAGTTTTAACAGATTCAGTCTTTGTCATTTAGAATAAATACCTGTTTTCCTTTTTATTTTTTATTTTTTCCTTTTCCTTTCTTTCCGGCTTTATTTTTTTTTCTTTTTTATATTAATCACAGGTTATTTACTTTGTATCCCAGCCGTAGCCCCCTCCTTCATTCCCTCCCAATCCCATCCTCCCTCCCTCATCTCCTCCCTGCCCCTTTCCAAGTCCACTGATAGGGGAGGACCTCCTCCCCTTCCATCTGACCCTAGCTTATCAGGTCTCTTCAGGACTGGCTGCAATGTCCTCTTCTGTGGCCTAGCAAGGCTGCTCCTCCCTGGGGTGGGGGGGGGGGTGTCAAAGGGCTAGCCATTGAGTTCATGTCAGAAATAGTCCCATTCCCCTTACTAGAGAACCCACTTGGATACTGAGCTACCATGGGCTATATCCGAGCAGGGGTTCTAGGTTATATCCATACATGGTCCATGGTTGAAGAAACGGTCTCATGAAAGACCCCTGTGCTCTGATATATTTGGTCCTTGAGGAATTCCTGTCCTCTCCAGGTCTTACTAACTCCTCCTTCTTTCATATGATTCCCTGCACTCTGCCGAAGGTTTGGTTATGAGTCTTAATATCTGCTTTGATACACTGGTAGGTAGAGCTTTATTTTAACCTTTTGTTTTATCCTTTGAGATCTTCATACAGTATATTTTTATCATATTCCTTACTGTTCCCCAACTTCTTCCAGATCCTCTCCTTTCCCTTTCCACACAACTTCATATTCTTTCTTTCTAAAAAAAAAAAAAAAAAAAAAAAAAGCCAATTAAAAAAACGGAATCTAATAAGTGTTGGTCAACCGCTCCTAAGCATGGGGCCTGCCCTGGAGTATGGGGTTATACCAATGTCACTTCATTGAATAAACCGTTTTTCTCTCTCCCTAGAGAAATCTAGCTGGTACTCAACTGGAAGCGTCACTTTTATTGGCTAGCATTCATAATGGTAAAAATGCTGTACACACTACTAGAGAAGTAAAGGAATCATCAGTCTCACCCAGCTACAAACCTGTAATAACAACCTGCCTGCAGGTTTTGCCCATTGGTTCAAATAGTGGCATGATGCTGTAGGAGTAACCAACCACTTTTTGGTTGGATGTAAGGCCCACTCCATGAGATGAAAGCCATACCTGATACTGTTACTGAGGCTAGGAACTTGACATTAGATAAATCACAGACCCAGGGAAAAACCTACTGCTATTCTGCTAAATGAACACAACAATAAAACTACTCCTAATGGCACATTGCTATCCCCGTAGATCATTGACTTATTCAACCCACATCAGAGAAGCTTCTTGCTATAGCAGTTAACACAAAGATCCACCCAGCTGGGCAACATGCAGAAAGAGAGAGACTTTGACATGCTCAGCCCTGAGTATGACATATTTATCATAGCCCCTCCCCTCAATGTTCAGGGGTTTATGTGGAAGAGGGGAATAGAAAATTGTAAGAGCCAGAGATGATAGATGATTTTAAGGAAACAATATTGTCCAGGCACAACAGACAAATGCACATATGAACTAATAGAGACTGTGATGGCATGGACAAGACCTACACAAGCTAAGCCAGACAAAATTCCTTCCAGCACAAAGTTGTGGACATTCGTACAAAGTTCTACCCATAGCCAAGAATCTATTTCTTTTAAACTTTTAAAACTGATTTTTATTTATGTGTGTGTGTACACCAAATGTATGGGGGTGCCTGCTGGGGCTAAAAGGGGACTTTAGGTCCCCTGGAGTTGGAGTTATAGGCAGTTATGAGCAATCACATACGTGCTAAGAACCAAACTTGGGACTTTTGCAAAATCAGTATGTGCTTTTAACCACTAGGCCACATCTCCAGCCCTCCCCCCCTTTTTCCAACCTTTTATGCATTTATGGCATTGTTTTTTCCCTCCCTACTGCCTCTCTCTCCTCATCCCTCCCACTTGTCTCTATTAACATTTTTTTTTAAATAGTGCAGGCCAGTATTCTGTAGAATAGCCCCAATTTTGATTCATCTGATTGTTTTCTTATAAGTAGATACAGGTGATATATTTTTTATTGGAATGCCACACAAATGACATTCTCTTTAGTAGTCTTCTTGATGCAACAAATTAGGTGCATCAGATTATCCATTATTATCCATTAATATTTAAACGTGAGCAAGGTGAAATAGCTAAATATCCTTATTGTAAAATCATTCTTTTCTCTTTGTAATTAATAAGTAATTAATAATCTGTCATTAGGCTTCGAAACTGTGTGAATAACTTTTCCTCTAAGGATCATGTATTCAATAGATTTGGAAGCATTGATATTTAACTGAGTCAATAGTGGTTGTGGTGGCTATTGTGTTTTTATTATTCCTTTTATACTTATTGGCTATTAGTCTATAAAATTATTTATTATAGTCTATAAAAATTCATTCTTTGGGCTTAGTGGTAGAGTGCTTATTTAGTGTGCACAAAATCCTGGCTGGGTTCTATTCTCAGCATGATAATAAAAAAATAAAAATAGATTTCCCTTCCTCCTCTCTCATTGAAATAAAAGTTGTATCAATATCAATTTCGAGATTTTGAGTATTTTTATTAAGTTTTTTTTTTTTTCACTGTTTTCTTTTTCTTTTTTTTTTTTTTTTTTTTTCCACTTGGGAGAGTCTCACTAAATAGCTCTGGCTGGTCTCAAACTCACAGAGATCCATCCTCCTTCCTCTGAGATCTGTCCTCCTTCCTCTGCAGCCCAAGTACTGGGATTAAAGGCATGCATTATCACGCCCCAGAAAAAGCAAAAGAAAAGCAGAATTTGAAGCAATACAGATAGTTGTGTACAATGACACACCAAAATCTGTTTAATTAGTTATTAAAAGTTGAACCTAGAATAGACTTACCTATATTGGATTTAAGTTACCATTTAAGAGACAACAAAAGATAGCCAGCCTTGGTGACTCATGCCTGTAATCCTAATACTCAGGGAGTTCGAGGCCAGCCTGGTCTACAAAGAAAAACCCTGTCTTGAAAAACAAACAGAGAGAGAGAGAGAGAGAATAAGGACAAAATAATTAGGAAATACTGTATTTTACTGCCTTATAATTTGGGGTGATATTTAATTCAAGTGGAATTCATAATCATCTCTGCACTAAACTGCTAACATTTTAATAATAATTTCCCAATCTTGACTTTGCCGTATATTGTTTGGTGTCCTTCAACAATCATCTATTTCCTGTGAGTCCTATTGTATAAAAAAGCAACTCTGAAAACGATATCTCCTGTTCATTATTTAATTTCACACCAACATGATGGTGGTAGCTCTGTCTTCAGTGAATTTTTTTGTATTTTCTCATGGAAGCATTTAAGCATTTATGAGCATAGATTACAGCAAGCAGGAATGGTACTTTTAAGCAAACAATACATCCTTTAAAGTGGTACATAATGGTAAAAGCTTGAATACGTTCTGCTGAACAAGGTGATAACAATGGGGGAAACTCTTATTTCCCAATGCATGAATCCAAGTATGTGCCACAAACCTCAGACTGTCCTATCCCTAACCAGGTCCTGGTTAGTGTACTGTATTGGTAACTTTCTACAACTTCTTTGGAACTCCAAGTACCCTGGCCTGATGACAAGAAATGGAAAGGGGAAAAGAGTGCTCTAACCTGTATTGCTCAGCTATCCTGGGCCTGCTAAGATTCCCACCCAGATATTTTCAGCTTCTTATCGAAGTGTCTCTTCATACAAACTGGACTCTCTGCACCTCTTGATGTGCTTTTTCTGGGTCTGTCTATGTCTCTTTGTCTCTCTCCCACCCACCCATCCGCAATGGTCCTGAACTCACAGAGATTGAAGGCATATACCACCATGCCTGGCCTCAGCTCTCTTATGAAATGTTGTAGAGTGACTTCCCTGTTGCTGTTTTATTGTGCCTGTGTCTCGTAAACCTCCTGAAAGAGTTCTCACAAGTTAAGTGAATATGCCTATGGGTGAAAGTGACTTCACATCACTGTTTCTTCAGAACAGGAATGACCAGGGACACTGCTCCCATAAGAAATTTAGAAAGATGCATCTCCAATCTGGAGGCCATCAAGTAACAGAAAAGTCTTATATTAATTGGACTTTGTATACAGTTGGAACAAATGTAAATAGGAAAGTAACTTTCTGACTTTGAAATAATTCTTCCTTCTCATAGTACACATTGGTTCCGTAGGCTTTGTAGCTGAGCAGTTTCTAAACAGTACAGCCACTCAACTGACGTACCATGGATTATGTGAACTGACTTCAACGGTTCAGGAAGGAGAACTCTGTGTGTTCTTTCGGAATAATCATTTTAGCACCATGACAAAATACAAGGTAGGATATAGCAACAGATATTTTTACTCTTGATCAAAGGAGTTTGATTTAGAGATGTGTTTTATCTGCTGCAGAATAAGATTTAGCATAATATTCTTTAGCCATTATGTTGTGAAGGTAATTATTAAATACTGTTTTAGAATGGAATGGATTAGCAATTGAAATGTTACCTTGGTCAGCTTTTATTTTTGAAGTCTCAAGTTTCTAATCATAGATTGCATTCAGGTGTTTACTTTTTTACTTTCTTCTAGAGAGGATTTCACTGAGTAGCCTACTTTGGCCTTGAATTGGAGATCTTCCTGCCTCAGCCTTTGGAACACATGTGCTACCATGACTAGCTAGGCTGTTTCTTAGAGGAAACAAACTACCTAGAGTTAGAACCAGGATGATATTAGAAATTAGAATTAAGATTTGCCCTAAGCTGAAGTGTTGGTGCTCACCTATGACCCCAGCTTCTGAGGAGGCTAAGCAGGAGGATTATAAATTCAAGTCTAAGCTGGGCGTGCTGGTCTACAAAGCGAGTCTAGGACAGCCAAGGATACACAGAGAAACCCTGTCTCAAAAAAAAAAAGTTCAAGTTCAGACCAGACTGCATAACAAGACTCCCCACCCCCAGACACACCCAAATCATCTTCATGACAATGCTGGTTTTTTACTGTTTTGTGTCTTGTTACCAATTTTCCTCCCCTGTGAATGTGTGTTTATTTTCTAAATGAAAGTAGCTTATTGAAGTCATAAATCACATCTTCATGTTTCCATCAATGCTTTGTAATCAATGGCATAGGATACTATAAAATGGTTTGTTTGCCAATGAAAGAATACCCCAAAGCCATAGCTCCTCTATTCCTGTCTTATTTTTAGAAGAGTACATGCAACATACCTAGGTATGTACAAGATCAAGAACCCAAAGTCAAAGGGTGTCGGATCAGGGTGGCTGCCACACCACTTTGCTTCCCTTGTCCTCTTCAAGCAGGACAACTACAGCCATAGACACAGCAGCCAAGGCTTCTGCCATTTGAGGATTTCTTTATTTGATACTGAGATGCTTCTGTCAAGGCACATGCCACAGGCTCTGAGAGCTCATACCAGGATTTTATCTGGAAAGACTTCCCTGAGAAGGTTACATATACACTAGCGTAAGGACTTGGGTATACAGCTCAGTGGTAGAGTACTTACAGCATTTACCCAGCATGCACAAGACTCTAGATTCAGTCCCCAGTACTGCCGGAAGGAAGGAAGGAAGGAAGGAAGGAAGGAAGGAAGGAAGGAAGGAAGGAAGGAAGGAAGGAAGGAAGGAAGGAAGGAAGGAAGGAAGGAAGAAGAAAGCCAAGGCAAGGTGGCACACACCGTAATCCCAGTACTCTGGGAGGCAGAGGCAGATTTATTTCTGTGAATTCAAGGCCAGCCTGGTCTACAATGTGAGCCCAGATCAGCCAAAGCTACACAGAAAAACCCTGTCTTGAAAACAAAAACAAACAAACAAAAAAAAAGCAAAACAAAACATTTGAGAATGAATCATCTAAGAATTCACTCAGTTAACAACAACAAAAATAACTAAGCAGAAATAACTAGCAGTAGATGTGCAAAGGCTCTGAGATAGTAGGGATCAAAAGAGAGTTGTAAGCTGGAAGCTTAGAAGTAAATTACATGAAACAAGAAACGTGGACTCATAGACCAGAGTCTTAGAGAAAAAAATGAACCTTGGTTTCTTAATGGCCTTGGTGTTTCTTTTCTTCTTTTGGCCTAAGAGTGAGTAGGAATGAAATAATTCTGTGGAAAAACAAAGTGTCTGGCTGTCATTGGTAGCTATGAACTTTCCCTCTCTCCTTCCGCTCCATCTCCTTCCTCATCCTTCTGTCTCCCTCCCTCTCCTCCCTTCCCTCTCTTTCCCCCTTGTATCCCTCATCTCATTGTAAGCCCTGTACCACAGAGATGCATACCTTCTGTTGTTCTCTCTTCTGTTAGAGCATTATCCCCAACCAGAGCATCTTTACTGGTCAGCTAGGTATTCCCAGCTTTGTGAGGCTAAAGAGGATTTGCCTGTGTGTAGACCAATCAGACCTATCTATAAGATCATGGGAGCTCAGAAAATATCTTCTCTCTTTTATTCTGCTTCTAAGATTCCCTATATAAAGTTTATTCTGCAGCTAAACAATGCTGCACTAGTGTCATGTGCCCTCCTCTCCCTTGTATGACATTAATTTGCTGTGGAGTTTGAGCATGATGTGGGATTTAGTTATGAGAACTCCAAGAGATAAAAAAGTAGATTATAGTGATTTAGACAAGTTGTGGTAATGAACATGCAATGTGGAAAGATTGGAGAGTGAGACAGGAGACAGATCAGCCAGATCTCTCTATTGGCTTTGAAAAATCAGTGATTTCTGGGTCCTGTGTGGATGATGATGTTCCTTATTGAATCATACATGACTGGCCATTCATGGTAGCTCACAACTTTAATCTTACTTGGGACTTGGGACGTAGATGAATCTCTGAGTTCAAGACCAGCCAGAGTTATAATTGTCTCAAAAGAAACAGACATAAGAAAGAAAGAAAGAAAGAAAGAAAGAAAGAAAGAAAGAAAGAAAG